AGTTCTTGACAACCAGATATTCACGCACGTATCCAGGTCCATCTCTAAAACCTATCTTTCTCAAATCCTGATTTTCTCTGTAACTACCAATGAAAGTCTATGAATCCTAATTCTTATCTTGGTCGGAAATTTCGCACAGCGTCCCATAATCACAATTTCCGGCTAGAAGCTTGATTGTTGCAAATCCATGAAATTTTGGACCAATAGGATTGTAGTATGATGTAAAGACACGCAATCTTAAGTTTACGCTGATCAGAATAATCTGACCAGCTGAACTCAAATAATTGACGTGGCTGGTCACTGCCATGCCATTGGCTAGTGACAACCACGTCACATGACCTCCCTTCGAAGAAGAGCCTCTCCTAGAGAAAAGGGTTCTCTTTCTTCTTTGACTTCCAGTAGAGGTCGATGAGTCCGGGAATTTGCGTTGAATTCTCTACGGGCTCCCAAGAGGCTTCCTTCTCGGTTTCACCAAGCCACCAGATCTTGTACTGCGGTTTTCCCTTGTACTTGCGATGTCCAATGACGGCTTCAACGAGTTGCTCCTCGGTACCATCGGCTAACACAACCTTATTCACCTTTTTCCTCCGCTTGTGATCTTTGCGGTACGGCTTCAATAGTGACGTATGGAACACCGGATGCAGCTTCAATCCTTGCGAAAGTCCTAACTCATACGAGTCTCGAGACACCTTCTTTAGTATCGGAAAAGGTCCAATAAATCTTGGAGCTAACTTCTTCGACTGTGCATACCCCTTGTGGCGGATGTCCATGTTCTTTCCGTCAAGTAACACCATATCACCAGTCTCGAAGTCTTGGACAAGTCTGTTCCTGTCGTAATAGTTTTCATGCCTTCTTAGGCTTCACTCATACGGTCTTGTGCTACCTTGAGGAAGACCTCTTGCCGGAGTAAGAACGCTTTTGCTGTTTTCTCCAACTTGTTGAATTCCGGATCTAACGAAACCTCGTCGGGCATGTACGGAATATACCCAAGATCCGCTTCAAACGGTGCCATTCCGATCGTCGAATGCACACGTCGATTGTAGGCAAACTCTGCCATATGAAGAGACTCATCCCAATCGTTCTGGGCTGGGTTCACGACTCCACGAAGATAATCCCCGATAAAACGGTTCGTACGTTATGTTTGTCCATCCGTCTGTGGTCTAAATGCTGATGACAGGTTATGCTGCGCTCCCATAGCAGATATAACAGCCTGCAAAAACTTGGACGTAAATTTGGAGTCACGGTCAGACAGAATTGTCTTCGGAAGGCCATGATCTTTTACATAGTTCTTTATGAGGACATGCGCGGTATCTTCTGCGCTATCTGTCGTCATGCGTTGCAATGAACTTTGCACGCTTGGTCAATCGATCCACGATGACCATGATGGCATTACAACCATCCTTGCTGGGAGGTAAGGACACAATGAAATCCATCGAAATGTCGATCCATCTACCTCTTGGTACTTCCAGCGGTTAAAGTAATCCCGGCTGTTTCACTTGTCTCGCCTTGTTGCGCTGACACATTTCACAAGTGTTGCAATAACGCTGGGTATACTTCATCATCTTCGGCCAATAATACTTCTCTCGTACTGCGACGTAAGTCTTGTACGATCCAGGATGGCCTGCCGTTACGGCATCGTGGTTCTCGCAAATGACACGGTCTCTCAGATCTTCGTCATCCGGAATATACAGTCGCGGACTTTCATCTTCACCGGTCTGGTAGTATAAAACACCATCACTGGGCGAGTAATGCGGGACGTTGTCTCCAAGCTTAAGCTTCTTGACAATTCCCTGCAAGTCCTTGATCCACGAATACATCTTCTTTGCGGACTGTGCCACCGTCACGTTGTTCGCTACCATGGTTGCCACAATCTCACGGTTTTGAGCCGTATCAAGCAGTTCCTGAAGGCTTACTTGCGCAGCCTTATGCTCGAACTCAGGGTTTCTTGATAATGCGTCTGCGACTACATTTGTTTCTCCTGGGATCCACTTGAGCATGGGTTGAAACTCCGCGAGTTCATTGAACCACCGCGCAATGCGTCTATTCGCTGTCTTCTGCGTAAGAATCATCTCGATGCTCTTATGATCGGTTTCGACAAGAAAGGGCTTGTCTAGCAGATATACACGCCATGCCTTCAGAGTATGCATGATTGCGAGAAGCTCTTGTTCGCGTACTGGGTAGTTCAGCTCTGCAGGTTTCATCTTCCGGCCAGTAAAGGCAACTGGATGTTCCAACTCTCCCTCCTTTTGAAATAAGACTCCCCCAATTGCGAAATTTGAGGCGTCCATTCGAATACCAAAAGGCTTGGAGACATCAGGAAGACGGAGAACCGGTGGTGATGACAAGCGTTTCTTTAGCTCATCAAAACACCGCAGCTGGTCCTCATTGAGTTCGATCGCATCTCTAGAGCGTTTTCCTTTGATACATTCGTGCAAAGGACCTGCAAACTAAGCGAAATCCTTGCAAAATCGAGAAACGTAGACAGTTGTCCCCAGAAAGCTTTCCATTTGCTTCTTTGTCTTGGGAACAGGCCAATCTGTGATAATCTTCACCTTATCGGGGTCCATTCGAACGCCCTTGCGTCCGACAAAGTCACCTAGACATGGGATTTCGTCGACACAAAATTGGCACTTGGACAGCTTGATGTGATTAGAGGATTCGGGGAAGAAACTTCCTCGATCTATTCTCAAACTTTAAATCTGTAAGACCTG